TGCTATTGTATATATTATATATACAATAGCACATTGTATATATTGTATATATATATATTGTATATATATTAAATGTTGATTTTAAATTAATAAAATTTATCTTTTTATATATAACTACATGTGTCTGATGGACACGGTGTATGGTTTTAACACCTTAAAAGCCCCATGTCTTTTACTTCTTTGTCTTCTATGTTTTCAAATTAGGGGTGTGGTGCCTATCCCTACTGGTTCCATTTTTATATATAAATTTGAATAATTTACTTACCTTTATTTGATATATTTGCCAGGATTTGTCTGCTCTCTAGGACCACAGGTCTCTATGACTGTATTGTTATTACACCTTGATTAATATAATGTATAAATCTTAATTAAATGTTAGTAATGTGTTTGTTTTTCCTCTAATGACTTCCATAAGAAATCTGCTGTGATAATAAAACAAAGAGAGAGCCACTGCTCCATAAAATATTGATGTGACGTTTCTAATAATCCAGGCCTACATAAGAATTGTAAAACCCAATATGCAGCGTGTGTGTGTGTGAATCCTCAACTGAATGGTACTACAAATTCTTTGCCAGTTAAAACACTTGAAACATACAGTAAGTATGTAAAATGTGATTTATAATCTTTAAAAGCCAAGACCCACATAATTTAATCTTAGTGGACTCCAGCCCTTGAAATTTGGCCATTTGAGTTAACAAATATTAATTAAAATATATGCCTCACTGCCTGAAAGCAAATAATTGTTTCCGTTACTTACCAGCGGTGATCCTCGTGTGAGTAGTAAGAAGCTCCACCGTAGCATTATTAAGGACAACAGCAGCTAAGGCCACAAGGATATAAGTCAGACTCATATCAAACACAATAGATGTACCTGAAAGCAAATGACAAAAAGTGAATTAACTATAGAAACAATAAAACCAAGGTCCCAATTCTATTTAGTTATTTAGATATAACATTTAGATACAATATATTCCTATTTTTGTGACTAACAAATAATTGACAAACAGCAAAATCTTAAAACCGTAACAAAATCCTACTATTCACCTGTTTTTCAGCATCACCATAGAACCATTTCCAGAATAATATTACAATAAATATGTAACATGGTTTGCCCTTTTCCTATTGTTTCTGAGGACTTTGAAATAAACATTACCCGCAATATGTATATCAAATTCTGAACACATTATACTGAACCTTATAATAGCTCACTTACTTAAACTTTAGTATAGTATTAAAGCACTGGAAGTCCACTTATACCTCCAGAATCATTTTGGAGAAATCAATTTTTCTTACCGAATCTGGGAAGATTTCCCCTATTGTCTTTTAACGCCCTCAAAGAGGAATATAATATTTCTAATACAGAAATATGTTTCTATTTAAAGATCAAAAAGGACATATTCCAAACCATAAAAATCTCTGACTTCTGCCAGTCTTTCACCTTCTCTTTGATGAAGTATCTATGGGACACACTTACTCCTGGCCTAATCTGAAGACTCTACTTCACAGTTGTAAATGCACTGTACCAGCCCTGCCAATGTATGTGAAAAACTAGGAACTAGGGTTAGGAAAAACAATAAAAGAGGAAAACTAGAGCAAAATCTGGACCAGAAATATGCAATCTCAGATGGAGCCGTTCTGTAGGAGGAGGAAAGAGGTGGAGCCACTGCTTTTCACTTATGTATAGATTTCCTTTTGAAATATTGAAATGTAAAAAAGAGCCTAAAGCTCTGCCTGTTGGTTAGGAGTAAGGTTACAAAATAATAATGCATAGTTTTTTTAAATAATTACCTGACCTGAAAATAATGTCCTCTTATGAGTCCTTATGTAGCCTAGTTTATCGAAGGCCATCTCTAGTACTACCATGTACTGAGAACCCCACTAAAAATACTTTGCCAAGCGATTAAACTATTTCCTCCAGATACCTGGTCCCTTTCTCTGAACAATCCTACTTGGGCTAATCCACTGTTCCTTAAAGGAGAACTATGGGGTCAGTGCTTTTCCCCATAGTTCTCCTCAGGGTCACGGGAGGACATAAACTAGCATCCTCCCGTGACCCAAAGCTCAGTATATCGCGAGCTACAGCTCGCGGTATACTGAGACCGCCGCAGCCGGGACGGATCCCTACATTACGTCAAGATCCACCCAGCTGCGTGATTGACAGCTGGCTCGGCCTATCTAGAGGCAGAGCCAGCCGCAACCGTTCGTTCCTCCAGTCAGCGCTGGAGGATCGGAAAGGGGAGGGGAAATCCCTGCAGGGAGCCGTGAGTGACAGTCACGGCTCTCTAGAGGGACAGGATTGAGAAGTGAGTGAACGACGCTCACTTCCCGATCTATTGAGCCGACGTGTGACATTTTCATTGAAGATCACTCACCTCATAGTTCTCCTTTAATTGAATAAAAATTATCTTAAAAAGAATATAAAGAAAAGTATTTCTAAACATTGAATTGTTTTAGTCCTGATTATAATAAAAAATAAAACATGTAGATATGTATACATTCGCTTTAGGTAGTTAAAGGAATTCAAATATTTGCCATGAAATCGACTTTACTCAGGAAAGGCATTCAATGTAACATTCAACGCACCTGGAAACTTGTGGTGCAAATAGTCCACATCTGTAATAAAGCTGTTATAAGGAAGGAGGAAGCCAACCCCAGCAAGCAACATAGCAAAGTATATTCCATGATATCGGTCCATAGGCTCTGGATTTGTATCTTAATGAAAAAGAACCACAGTAAAAAAAATACATAAATAATAGAGCATAATTATACTTGTGCATGCCCACATATTGGTATCAGGACTATTAGTGTTTTATGTGCTACCTACAAAAACCTGCAAAATAAAGTACTACCATCAGCATGTTACTTGTACTGCAACACATCCAATTGTCTCCTCCCCTACTCTAAGCTCTGCGGTTTAGTTGATTGCATGAATTTGATACCAAGTCAAATTCAGGTACTTACACTGCTTAGATTTAACAAATGCATTTAATATTTTGTATTGAAGAATATAGGACTGCATTAGTTTGAGTCATTTATAACTGCCAGGAATTCAACTTCAGCTCAACAGAAAACCTGTTACCATTATACATATTTATCCTGTAAATGTAGGCTGTACCTGAGCTATAAATCAACAGTTTTAAATCCCTTGGCTGATCGATTATTAAATATTTGATTTTTCATTTTCCGAATTGGTGGCTGATGCAAAGATGTCAAATTCTGTTTAACATGCCAAAACATTCTTATATGCATTTGTGTTTAGCATTCTGTATATTGATTATATCATATAACCTATGTCCTATCTCTGCCACAGCCATACAATTTGGAATAAAGCTAAAAAGCTTCTCAGCATCTTTTGGGGCGTAGAAGGAAAGCAGATAATTCAAATGATAACTTTCAGGGCCCATTCACGCCAGCAGCTATGTTGGAACGCAGCAGCTAATGTGCTCTCTGAAGGCTGTGGTGCCGTTGTGCTAGTAAAATCAGCGCATCGCACAGAAAGCCCTTTGTTTGTCAGAACTGTATTGAAATGTCATAAAGTGACACTGCAATCAGTTCTATCAATCTCAGTGCAGTGCAATGCAGTTGATTGTGTCGCACCATGCCACGCTGAACAAAAAACTGCACGTAGTACCTTGATTCAGCGCTCACCATCTCAACGCAATGGTGTGAAATGTGCTCATTGTAAACAAGGCAAATTGCTTTGTCATTGTATTGGGACTGCACTGGACATGGACCCTTTTCTTGAAGGAGATGTATGGGGATGTATGGGGAGAGTAAAACATATTCTCCCCTATACTTAGAGTCGGTGAAGCATGCTGCAGCTGTCCCAAACCTCTAAGAACAAGAGCTAACCAACCACATAACTGATGAACAGTTGGCTTTTGGTCTCTGCTCCTAGCGCAGGTTAGCGACTGTGGGCCGCTGCCCCAGCAGGGATTTCATGGATGTGGCTGGCTCTGGCTGTCAGCGAAACTCCCGCTCTGCGCATGCGCAGCGGAGAACAAACACGCGCAGGCGCAGCTGAGAACAAATACGCGCCAAGAGGCGCACAGGAAGTTACATCATAGATGGATTCACTGCCCTATTTAAGCCCAGCTCAAACGCCCACTAGTTGCTGGTTTGTCTTGTCAGCTTGATCGTGTTCATTGTGTCCCGTTTAGCCTTCTCCTGTATATACCTGATTCCCCTGGATTTGACCTGTTCCTGTGTAAACGACCATCCTTGCTTGCTGCCTGCCTTTTGACCTCGGACTGTTTTGGATATTCTTTGGCCTGCTCCCTACTTGTACTGAATTGGATTTCATGGCTTTTGACCCCGGCTTGTTGTGACCTCGATTACTGGACTTTCCTAAAGGACTCGTGCCTCTCCCTGTCTGCCTGGCCTTTGTCTTCAACCTCAAAGGGCACAAGACACGAGGTGCAAGAGAAGCCTCCTCTCACTTCGGCCTCCCTACCAGGTACGTGATACTGGCTCTCAGCTGTACGCAGAGCTAGCTGTCAATTAGGCAGCTTTATCCCATCTGCTTATAGCGCCTATTAGCCGAGTAATTGCTGACTTTGGGTCACAGGAGCACATTAGTACTCCTGTGACCCAAAAGAGAAGTATAGTCAAAAAAAGGGTTTGGCATCATTTCTCTTTTTAAAGGTAAAATGTCAATATCTGAAATTAACATACTGCAAAATGGAGGCTATTACACGAGAGTTAATAAGTAGAGAAAGACATTCAACCCAGTATAGAACTAACTGGGCAAACCTGCTTCAATGCTACCTCAAAAACAAATCACTGTAACCCAACTGTAATGTTAAATTGCCTTTTAGTGTCTGAAACTCTGTTTCTCTACAGGGGGCTATTTATACAATGTTTGAGATTCTTATTTATCTTCTAATGGACTTTCATGAAAGTGGTGATTGAGAGGTTGATTTGAAAAGTTGAGGAATGAAATGGCCATGTTTTCCAAACTTGCAAAAATAATTGTGAGAAGTGGGTAAATGCTAGCTTGCAACTTCTTTCTTGATGGTTTTGAAATACAATAGAGATAGGCAGTGTATGTAAATGAATATAATATTAATAAGTAAGTAACTGATAGGCAGGTTAGATGTGAAAAGGAAAGAGCTATATTGAGAAATATATTAGTCAATGCATGTTTGGTCCTTGAATGGGAAATCTGGACTATTCAAATTAATGTAACTAATAAAACACATTTATACTTAAAGTGACACAATACTCAGAATTTAAAGCTTAAAAATACATTCAAGTACAATAACTTTTAACAAAAATGTCTCTTATTTGTGTATCACTCAGCTGTAGATACTCAAATCATCTCTGAATTTGTGCTGACACTGTCCATCCTTATTGAGGGTGACTACTTTTGTTCTTCAGTGTCCTTTTTCCTCTCCTTATAATACAGTAAATATTTCTGTTGCCCACAAAAGTAGTTGCTAAAATGCCAAAAATGGTGTCTTCACTTGGTCACTTTTGTGCAGTCAGTGCTGCAAGGTTGTGTCAGCACAAATTGAGGAAAAGGTGGGCGACCCTAGAAATGTATCCTGCACACTTGAGATAGGAGGAGCTTGTGTTTGTATTTTAATTTATACTTGGATTTTTAAGGCCTGAGGTCAGCAACTGTGGTGAAGTCAAATATAACTTACAATAACATGCAATCAAAGTTAGATGTATGATAAAAATAGATTAGTGAAATTATATTTAGTTTTGAATGTATCGGCATTGTGAAATATTAAGTAAAAGTGTGATATATTTGTTAAACACAAATTACAGCATTTAGCGTAACTGATAAATAGACACAGGGCAGGCAATATGCATCTAAAATAAGGCAGTAAACATGTGATATAGTTGGTCCCCAGGATGCTGTGTTAGATATATACATCGAAGAATTCATCAAAAAAGCATATAATGTAAGAACCTACAGTATGTGGACAGGGAATGAGGTGTTTTTTGACCAAGACTGCTTGAATGACAATGAATAAATAAGCAGGCAGTCAAGATAAAGGACATTTCTCATTGTTTTTGCCACTGACCTGAGTAGTGGCATATTTTGGTAGTGGAGAGAGTAACGGCAGCAGCCCCTAATCCAACCCATATCTAGAAAGCCCCATAACTCCAAAGAAATCCCATGCTGCCACAAGGTCTCACGGGTAGTTTGACCATCCCTGTCCAAATCTATTCATATCATGGACATACAAAAGTTACTGATCTTTTTACTGATTGTGTTGATTTACAATATGAATCTCAAAATAATAAAATGACATTATATTATATAGGGGCATCTAAATGTACCTGGCTCCATTAAGGTAAGGACTCCCTGTGTTTGGCTGCTTCCAGTTGTCTGTAGTTCTTCTTCTTCAAGCTGGTAACTGTCGAAGCTAAAGCTCATAACAACATTGGCATCTGGAGTCAGGGCTGGACTAAGTTCTTTATAGCGATCTCTTGTAGATGACTGCATTATTTTCTTTGTAATCTGCGATACACAAAACCCAAAAAAGATGAAGATCATGTTCTATTAAACTTAACATACATAGTTTAAGAATATTACCAACAAGTATTCTTGTTGTTTATCTATTACCTACACCAGGGGACTCTCAAACTTAATTCACTCAGGGGCCACTCCACACATTTTTTTCTCCCATGGGGGCCGCTTGCCAAATTTCCTACTTCAAAATAAAATGTAACTGTATAAGGTTTGGTACTACGGACACTGATATACTCACAATAAGACCCCATTCATATCTGTAAGTGTAGGTGCGATTAGGGATTCCTGCACAAGGGACTTGCCTTTTCCTGCAGCAGGAATCCCTAATCTGTTTTCTAACTGTATGTAATTATACATACATGCGGTGTGCAGGCATTTACATGCAGCAGCTGTCACCTGATCATTAACTTGAATGGGTGACAGTTGACGCTTGTAAATGCCAGATTAGGGATTCCTGCTGCAGGAAGACGCATTTTCCTGATGCAGGAATCCCTAATCGCACCTAAACTTCCCACCATACACATAAAAAAATACATTACCCCCACACACATAAAAAAATACTACCCTTGCACACACTCACATATAAAATAAAGCAAAGAGCCCCCTCTCCTGCATACTTTTTTGCAGAGAGGAGGCGAGTAGGCATGGTCCCTCAGTGGTTGATTAGTAAGGTCTAGTACAGGCGTTCATTGAAGGATTTCAGAGCACTGCCCAAAAGAATCCGAGTGCCGGCACAGAGAAGCAGCTAAGCGGTCTGCATCCGACAGAGATGCAGACTGTGTAGCTGCTCCGGCAAGTCAAGTATGCGGTTCGTGACCGCATGCCTGCCTTGTCAGCTGGCTGCGGGCCACATAGTGCCGGCCGCAATTGGCCCGCAGGCCAGTATTTGAGACCCCTGACCTACACCATTTACTATCACTTGCCCCATAAATAATTGCCAGGGCCCAAGGAATTAAAGTGGATCTAAATTCAAAATGTTGAGATTGTTGTCATATAGGAAACATCTAGAAATGTTAATCGTGCCTAAGAAGTAACCATACGAATGTACATATTTTCTTGAATTGCAGTGCACTTTTTGTGCCTAGGTACTCCTGTGCCTTGAGCCTCATAGCTGTATATATCTAGTATAAGCTAATTTAAGGTACAATGAGAAGAATTTTTCAAAATTGAAGCAGAGCGGCTGTACATGGCAACCAATCAGCTGCTCTCTTCAGTTTTGTTCAGTTAAGATTTACAAATAAGAGAGAGAGAAGCTGATTGTTTGCCATGCACAGCTGCTCCAGATTTTGTCCAGTTTCGATAAATTCCCCTATATGTCTCTGATTGCTCGTCTCACAAGATCTGACGTGAGATTTGGAATGAGGTTTGATGTCACTACTGTTCTCATCTCCCTTCTTTTGCTTTAATGATTCTGTGGATCTCTTCTTTATAAAGCTCTCTTTTGCTGCTTGATTAATTCTCCATCAGTCATTAGATTACCTGCCATCAGGTGGACAAAAGTAGGTCAAGCCTTTTCCTTTACGAAGATTGCCACCTCCACATAGAGAAACAGTGTGGAATAAGGCATAGTAAATCATTAATAGATAAAAAATTGAAGGGAGCTGAAGCTGAAGGGAGACCACAGGCATAATGTTAGCTAGTTCTCTGCTTACCTTTTTGTGCACAGTATCCACAGCTTAGGTCCTCTTTTAAACCTTAAAACTGGAGAAAAATGGAGGAAAAAAAGTTTTTATTGTAAAAGTACACATTAAACACACACTAAAAAGCATTTGATGTTATTAACGCTACATTGTGGATCCGGCCTTAGGGTTTAAGTTGGGGTTTTGGTTAAGATTTATGAGTAAAGGTTAAAATGAGCGTAATATTTAAGCATTAGCGGTAGGGTGATGGATGCTGCTTCTTGATGTTTAAAAGTTTTAGTTTCCTGCAGAATCAGCTGGTCCCCTGAGCACTGGTCCTGACTTCCTGCTTTAGAATGACTCCTTTCTCAAGCAGAGTGCTATGCAGTCACCCTGTGTGCTAATAAGCTGTGCATATCTCCACAAACACAGCAAATCAAGCTACTTCCCTCCCACCTGGCCCCCTCTCCACCCTCCTCCCTTCTCCAAGCTAGTAGATGAACACTTGCTGGAGACTGCTCTCTCCCATGTGATCTTGTACTGGATAGTAGTGATGGGCTGGATGTTTGATTCGAACATTGCTAGTTCGTTTGTTCGCCGAGCACACGAACTATAAGGGTGTTCGGCGGTCTGTTCGATCGGTGAACGCTCCACACAGCAATGCGCCTTGTGAAGCCCTAATTGGCTAAATCAGGGCTCAGTACTCTGTAAGAGCCATGATTGGGCAAAATCATGATGACTTTGCCCAATCATGGCTCACCTGTCAGATGACGTAAAACTACACAGTTGGGCAGAGCTAACAATTGTTTATGTTTTGCCAGCATTTCTCAAAATGCCATTATGCGGCGGGTGTTTGTCGCAAGCGGACGGGACAGCGGTGGGAGTTTTAAAAAAATTATTTCTATTAATTTTTGTATTTCGTTGAGTCGTCGTCTTTGACAACGCTGGACGTCGTGATTGACCATGGATTACGTCGGTGGAGCCATTTTTTTGGGTTTGTTTTTTTAAATAAAAGACTTTTGTTTTTTTTCTCCAAATAAAGGATTTTTACAAAAGTCTGAGCTTTTTATTTACAATTTTATTTAACCTTTTAGTGATGGGTAGAGGTACAAGTTCCCCTTACTCATTCACAAGAGGGGGAGGCGGGATCTGGGTGCCCTTCCCAGTGCCAAGGGCATGTGGCCTGGTATGGGGGGGCGTTCGCTCACCCCCCCCCCCTTTCCGGCCCTGCCAAGCCTATGCTCGGATCAAGGGCCCGGTATGGAATTTTAGGGGGGATCCCATGTCTTTCCACTCCCATTTGTGGGGGGTGGGGTTCCTCCTTAAAATTCCTACTAGACCTTAAGGGCCTGATATGACTTTAAGGGGGAACCCCACACATTTTGTTTTTTTTACATGGGGTATGACTTTTGGGGGGGAACCCCACGGTTTTGTTTTTTTTATTTGGTCCCTCCTAACCTAAAGGGTCTGGTAATGTTTGGGAGGGGGAACTGCACGGTTTAAAATAAAAAAAATAAAAAAAATTTAAAATTTTTGCTGCAGCAGGTTCTATACATTGTACAGATTTGCCACTTTACAGGCAGTTTAAGGGGACCCCTCAGGCATGATAATTAAAGGAATTTTTCATTTTTATTGTTAGTTACCCTTTAAGTGATGTTAGAATCACTGCACCTTTAACCACTTGAAGTCCGCGGTGTTAAACCCCCTTCCCATCCCGGCCATTTTTCAGTATTCAGCGCTGCGGTACTTTGACTGACATTAAATATTCACGATCAGCAGGCTATAGAGCCGCCGATCGTGTATATGTGAAAAAGCCGGTAACGGCTCTTTGCATTGGACGGGGTTTTTTCTGCCCGTGCACGCGCAAGCAGAAAATAGAAATGCTGTCTGGAGACGGCAACCCGCCAATGCAGCTGTGCCGTCCATCTGTTTTTTTTTCAACGGGCGGACGGCAACTGGTTAGAAAACTCTATTTTGAAAAAGTTTTTTTTCATTGATATATGTCCCCCCAGGGCAGTACCCGAATCCCCATACACTTTTTATGGCCAATAACTTGCATATAAGTCCTCTTAAAGGGGACAATTGTTTCTGAAAGTTCTACCCCCATTGACTTGCATTGAGTTCGAGTTCGAAATCAAACTTTTTGGATGTTCTAAAGTTCGAATTTGAACCGAACTCGGGCCTGTTCGGCCCATCACTACTGGACAGGACGTTCAGGGAAGCCAAGCTGAGAGGCTTGAAAGCAGCTGTTCAGAAACATGATGATTGTAAGTGCTTGGACAAAAATGTATAGCAATGTTTTGCTGGGCAATGTATAGTTGTTTGATCTGGATTCATTATTGAAAAAAGTTTGAGAGTTTAATACTACTTTAAAGTGTTAAAAACATTTCCATCAGAGCTCCTGTGTGAAAAAAATGTAATCTGAAAATCAAGGTTCCAGTGAATCAAAACGGGATGTATAGTAGGCTGATCAGATGTTCCTACTGTAAGTTCCAGGGACAGTTCCCGTTTTCATGAAGCTGTCCCCAGAAAAATTGTTTTCCCATTTAATAAATGGAGTCCCCGTCCAGGGAGCTGCGAGGTAATCTATCTAGGTTCTGGGAACTTTCTCTGGTTTCACATTTCAAATCTCAGTGGCTGCCTGGATATAAGGAGAGAAGGGAAGGGTGTGTGTATTAGACGTGAATCTCCAGCCTGTCAGGCGCGATATGTAGAGGAAGGAAAGATGCTACAGGTGAAACTCGAATGATTAGAATGTCGTGCAAAAGTTCATTTATGTCACTAATGCAACTTAAAAGGTGAAACTAATATATGAGATAGACTCATTACATGCAAAGCAAGATAGTTCAATCTGTGAACAGTAGCATGGGAACAGAGGTGGACACACAGTATGCATGCTCTCCCATCACATGTCAGGCAATGTTTGAACACATTGTGTGAGTCAGAGAGAGGAAAGGGTTGCTGTGAGCACGTGTGGCAGTATGAGATCAGAGGTGGACATGCTATTGGCGTGCTCTGCTGCGTTCTCTTGTCATGTCATTATATTGGCAAGTTTACTGCTATTCCTCCTGCTCTTAACACAGTAATCATACACCAGCAGATCTCTTAGCAGTTCCTATACCTTGTTAGAGAATAACATTCTCTTCAAGCAGCACACTGCAACTCTAGATCAGTCTTAATGGTTAAAGTTAGAAACATTTCTATTTGTCATGGTGACTCCTTAGCCACCCTACCTCCCTAAAAGCTCTTCAGCCCCCTCCCTCCCCTAGAGCCACACAAGGCCCCTTAGTTCAGTGTATCCCAAAGTATCCACTACCCAGCCTCCGAGCTCCCCTTCCTCATCCTGCTGACACTAACACAATGGCATTTTTTTCCTCCCACAGACACCAACACAGTGTCATTTTTTTCTCCCACTGATGCCCAATGAAGCAGAATGCTTTCCTCCCACTGACACAGCAGTATCCCATTACTCTACATTCGTTACTTAGGTAACTAAATTAATATAAAATGTTTAATCATATTAATGTAATACATTTTTGTGACTGCTAATATGAATTTGGAGAACGTAGCACCCTCCCTCTCTTTTCCTTTCTTTTTCCCTCTCTCGTCATCTACCGCTGTCTCCTCCTCCCCCTCTCACTTCCTTCTCTCTCGCTCTCTTGTTCTCCCTTGCGTTTTCCCTCTCTGGCTACCTCCCCCTTTCTCCATTCCTCCCTCTCCTGCTCTTCCTTTCTTGATTCCTCCCTCTATTTCTCTACCTGTCTTTCTCTGCCCCAACATCCCTTGCAGTCTATACATTATGTTGTACGTTACATAGTCCTGACCAAAGTGTGCATTGTCTCAGCAGTACTGTTAAAACACATTACTGTGGCACAGAAATTATTAGTATTTTGTGGGTACATGGATGCAGTGTATACAGCGACCAGGCAAAGGTTCTGTTTAACCGTCCCCCTTTAAGCCATTTCCATTGTTAGGCACAAGCTTGCATTACCCACCATTCGCTGCTTGTTTGTTTCTGCCTTCTATCCCAGGGTGCCCTATGTCTTTCATAATACTAGTCATGCTCACATTTTGTCATAATGTGTTGACATTTTAACTGTAATGTCAGGTAGATAAAATGTATGGGTTTTGTTAACTATTACATATTGTTTATACTGTTTAAATATTTATTGAAATGTGAGCATAATTTTGTGGGTCTGGTTCAGGGGCGGACTGACAGCACATGGGGCCCCCGGGCAATACAATATTATGGGGCCCCCTTGTGCTCTACCCATATACAAGCCCCATCCATAGCCAAAGGGCTGCTGTACGGGCTATTCACAATATTCACTATAGCCCGTACAGCAGCCAAGCGGCTCAGCTGAGCCGAACCCATAGGCTTCAGCTTGGCTGAGTCGTATTCACAGCCAGAGCAGGGAGAAAGGTCAGCCGAAGCCGAACGATCACCACGCAGATGGCAGCTGGGCGGAGCCAGCCGTGATCTCACGGCTGGCTCCACCCAGTTGTAATAACAGATCAGCGTCCCCAAATGACCAGGGGATGCTGATCTGTCATTAAACAATAACAACTGGGCGGAGCCAGCCGTGACGTCCCTGTCGGCTCCACCCAGTTGTTATTTATTGGCCGGGACCTACTAGAAGACTCTGGCAGGTGCCGGCCAATAGGAAACAGGATGTGCGTCATTTTTTTTTTTCTTTAAAATATTTTACATTTTTTAAAAACATTTCCTATTTGTTTTACGTTTAAAAAAAAAACATTCTCATTCATTTACCCTGAACAGCGTTCAGCTCACTTCACTTCGGCTCCGTTATTCACTCGGTGAATAACCCCCATAGCATTTGCGCACGGGACGCAAACGCTATATGTAAAACAACTGCACGGATTCCGCTCGTTTGCAGCTGTTATATAGCTGCGAACGTGCAAAACCCGCTGGATTATCACGCTTGCACTATTTTGAGGGCCGTGCGGTTTGGCACCGTGCGGTTTCCCACAATAGTCTGATAAAGCACATAAAAGTGCATTGTTTTTTCTGTTTAGAGCGGCTCCGCTCGTATTCGGACAGCCGATCCAGTGTGAATGGAGCTTTAACCCGCAAAATACTGCAAGCGCGATAATCCAGCAGATTCTGCACATTCACGACTATATAATGGCCGCAAACTAGCGAAATCCATGCAGTTCACATATAGCTTTTGCGCCCCGTGCGGGCTCCCACATGAAAAACCGCACGGGAAGCGCAAATGCTGTATGTGAATGGAGACTAAAAGGTTAACAGCTAAAAAAAAAAAAATCATTAAAATCACTTACCAGCATCATGGCTCCCAATCACCAGGTTCGAGTCTGGGTTTTCGTAGAACTGCTCCAGGGCCGGATCTCAGTGGGGCCCCCCTAGCATGAGGCTCTCCTGCCTCCGTCCGCCCTCCGTGGTAGGTCCGCCCTCCCTCTACTGCGACACGCCCCCATCCACTGCGGAACGCCCCCACCTCGGAGCTCTTCTCGGCCGCGCCGCTGTAGGAGATGCGGCTCTGCTAAAGCGGCAACGGCAGTGTATAGTGGGCCCGGGAGGCGGGCGACACTGCCGTTGCAGCTTTAATAAACCCGTGTCCTCTTCCATGCGGGCTGAAAAGGGCAGGGGGGTCGGTGACGGGCCCCAGGTAAGATGCCTAACTGGAGCACTCTCAGCATGTTCTTAGAAAATGCTCCAGTTGTTAAGTATGATCATGATCATGCTCCTTGCACTCAGCATGTCCCTTGCAGCATCCTTTACATGCTTAGCACATTATCTTCACTGCCTACTATCACACCATATCATTGAATATGACATCAAAATAATGTCAATCATCCATAAGCCCATTTGCAATGTATACAGTACCTAATACTCAATCCCTATGTATCCTCTACTATGACATCCGAATCCTGACCATGACATGTTAAAAGCGGCAATGCCAGGCATGGTAAATGTGACTGCGGCAGAAAACTGTAAATGTGAACGAAGACTACAGACAGCAATATTAAGTTGACAGAGTTTCTAATAACCCCTCTGCACTCTGTCAAAAAATAAAACTTTTGCCTGGAGTTGAGTATCTTACTAATTTCCTAATCTCCAACGCACTCTCATGAGCAATAAAAAATAAACTAATACATAGTTTTACATTTGTTGTTGAGATCACAACATTTTATAGAGAAGTAAGCACCCCACACCCATAAATGTCCTTTCACGGGTTACAATTAAAAATATTTTGCAGTGTTCAAGCAGTGCTGGATTGTATTATACTCTTTACTATTCATCCAAGCAAACTCAAAATCAGTTAAAGAAATATTATGAAAGGAATATAAATGAGTAATTTCTGTTATTTTTTAGAAGCGGACAGTCATTTAACAACAAAGCTGTGTTTTATTCCAGGATCCTATAATTGCAGGTCACTGGGGTCACACAGTTCTATGCACTTTTGAAAAATGTAATTAAGTGATAAATGTTGATGATTCCAATTCCTCTTTTTTCTCAGAGACCAAAATTCCAAAGAATTGTGGTAAGATGATGAAACAAGGAACTGTCTGTGTCTTTTACTAAACCAAAAGAACCATCATTCTTATATTCTATATTTCATCTGTTTCTACAATTGTCAGGAACCTACTTGGAGCTTGGCAGCAACCTGCTCTGCCATCTGTAGTACAGTCAACTGCTGGGTGGGGGCTTGCTTGATGGAGAGCTCTGCTCACTGTGTCCTCCTGTTGAGGCTTCAGTTTCCTGCAGCTTAGGCCTTGTTCACACCAAATGCAGAGCAGATCCGGTCAGGTTTCTGCACATGCAGTGCAGTGGGTTGTGCCGCGTTTTTGACGCGTTTTTGATACGTTCCGGGCCGGTTTTGGTAAAAAAGTTTAACATGGGCTTTCAGGCACTTGCATGCGTTTTTGATGCTTTCCAGAGCAGGTAAAATAGGGCTTGCCGCCGTTTTTTCAACTGCTCTGGATCTGCACGCTGCCATGTGAACTGGAGGTCAAAATACCATAGGAATACATTGGACGCAGTTTTGATCCGGTCTGCACCTGCTCTGGTCTGGATCTGCTCCGCGCTTGGTGTGAACAAGGCCTTAACTGCTGTCTTCCCTGGGTCCTACTGTTTGCCTGTTCTGTTGCTCTGGTTTCTCTCTCTCCTGTAGTTCTTTTCTGCTTTTTGTGCACTTCAGGCCTTTTTCCTGTGCCCCAGTGCAAGCATACTTGGTCTATTTTTTCATGTACGGGTGTGGCCAGGTGTACATGACTTTATTGGTCCATACTCTTTAAAGGGCACCGGAGTCTATACTCTGGTTGCCTGTTGTTGCATTCAGATGTTGTAGCATTTATACGTTTTGCTTTCAGGAACTTATGTCCATGTGTGTGTGTAAATGGCAATACTTGCATTTACATGTGTATACCTATGCACAGTGTATTGTGTCCATACAATCCTAAGGACACAAAAGTCAGCAGCACCTTGACCGGATGACGAATTGGGCCTGGTTCACACCTGTACATTTTGTAGCGCGTTCAACACTCTATGAACGCTCTACAAAACGCTCAAACATGAAAATCCCATTGTTTTCTATGGGTATGGTTCACACCTTGCCGTATTTCAGCCCGTCTGAACGTGCTACAAAATGGCCTACGCCTGAAAAGGTACATGAGCTTCTTTGCAGCGTTTTTGTTGTGCGTATCCATTGGGATACAGCCAAGTAGCTTTTTTTTACCGCGAATCGCGGTATAAATGCGCGTCACGAAACGCACGACAAACTCGCATATTCAATATGCCTAGGTGTGAACAGAGCCTTACACCCATGTGTCCTCAAAGAATTGAGCTGTATAATTTCAAAGCCATTGTATCTAATTTTTAGAGACTCTCTAATGACTGGCTTGGTACCGATGGATTGGCGCAAGGCCAATGTGGTGCCTATATTTAAAAAGGGATCAAAGTCTTTACCAAGTAATTACAGACCTGTAAGTTTAACTTCTATAGTTAGGAAGATACTTGAAAGTTTGATCAATGATCACATGCAATTGTTTTTGCTTGTAAATAATATCATAAGCGATAGTCAGCATGGAGTCACAAAAGACAGAAGTTGTCAAACAAACCTACTTTCTTTTTATGAGGAAGTGAGTCATAAATTGGACAGAGGAATGGCTGTGGATATAGTATACTTGGACTTTGCAAAAGCATTTGACACAGTTCCCCACAGGCGGCTCATGTATAAGTTAAGGTCAGTAGGTATAGAGTATTCAATCTGTAACTGGATAGAAAACTGGCTTAACCACTTGCTGACCTGGGTGTTTACACCCCCTTCCTGGCTTTATTTTGGTGGTATTTAATCACCACTTTTATTTTTTACTATATTAAGGAAAAATGACTGAAAATTTTGGGGAATTTTTTTTTTTTTTTTTACATTATGTTATAATACAATTATTACTAGCCACTTTTGTGGTAAAATATAAAAGACGGGGTCACATCAGGTAAATACATACCAAACATGTCAAGCTTTAAAATTGAGTGCGCCTGCAAAATCACAAAAAACTATCATACCCAAAATTGGCCATAGGCGACACTTTAAAAGCTTTTACAGCTCATCAGTTTAGTGTTATCAGTGATTATGGCCCTAGAATTATTGCTCCCACTGCGACGTTCACGGTGATATGTAACATGTGCGGCGTAATGGGCACAATCATCATTTTCGCACGTATGCGCACCCCACGCATATGTATATGTGTATGTATGGGTGGGGACTTTTTTTAATTTTGTTTTTTTAATTCTTTTTCATGTGTGACTTTAAATTTTTTTTGCAACTTGAATTTTTTTTCTGCACTTACCTTTATTGTTATCACATAGGGGATAAGAAACCCCCCTATGTGATAGCAAAGAGATGTAGCAGTTCCTCTTTATGGAGACATTGGACCCCTAATGTCACCGAGGGACCCCCAAAGAAGCTGATGAAGCAGAGATCTACTACAAGGAGTGTGTACAAGCGTAACAGGCAGCAACACAAATGAAGTGCTCAGTGAATGCAAGATCAGTAGGTGAATCAGGACCAGAGGATTAAATTGAGCAAAGTACAGACCAGCAGCAACAGTCAGACAAGTACAAGATACAGACAGAGTAACAGATCTAGATTCATGGGAGAAGAAAGGGAGCAGGTTATTCATGTAGAGAATGAAACCAACAGGCAGAAGGATAATCCAAAAAAAGCCAGACCACAGTAGTTGGAAATCAGACAGAGATAATACACAGGTATGTAGAGATAGGCAGGTCTGATACACTGAATGGGATGAACATTTGAAAATAAAGGACAGGACAGGAGAAACTGTTAGGAGCTAGGAGGGCTAGACCCAAAGAGTTAGATCACAAAACACACAAATACAGGGGCGATGTTGCACACAAAGCTTCATGGGTAATCAGGCAATATACCAGCGATCGCTACAGGAAGAAAACTTTCTTACATTGCTCAGACAAGTCAGGAAAGGAAGACAGAAAACATAGACACAGACAGGGAAAACAAACATAGAATGGGTAAATGCAAAAAAATTAAATAAATAAGATAAGAGCAAGGGCAGATGGATTATATAGCACAATGAGAGGTAAGAAGTTTCCAGAGGTTGTCAGCAATAAAGGTTGCTGGATAAAATCTAGCCAGATACTTGACACATTTCCTATTGTTCACATGCATATTGATGGATGAAATTGTAATATTTCCCTTACAGATAAAGCCTTAAGAATCAACAGAGAAGATGACATATGAGAAGTGCCTTGTTGAATCTCAGGCATTTGATCCAGGGCTTCCCTATGAACAGCCAATAACCTGCCCTGGGTATATAGTAGACATTACATGGGTGGTAACAGAAATGTGGTCATCCATAACAGCAACCGAGGGATCAATCTAAAGAATGCACTATGCATCTGGCCAAGAGCTAAGTAGTCTTAAAAGGAGCCAGAAACAGGGCATAGTGCAATCATTTCATGTGTTTTTTGGGTTTGCTCAACAGTAACAAAACCAACAAACCAATAAAACCAAAGTGGCAACACACTTTTTCCAGTTGAAACAGAGCACAACAGGCCAGAGGTGATCAGTTCAGGAGCAGCCTGCATGCCATGGCTAGTGATGGGCCTGAATAGATGTTTAGTAATGCTGTCACTAATGCAGATAGGAGCCGCTGTTGGAATCTAAAGAACAGGCACTGGGGGCACCCTTAAAGGAGAACTATGAGGCGGGTGCTTTTCACTCACCTCATAGTTCTAGCCGACCTGTGACAATGAGACTGTCACAGGTCGGCTCAGTAGATCGGGAAGTGAGCGAACACATACCGGCGTTCGCTCACCTCTCGATCCTGTCACGGCTCTCTGCCATGACAGGGGAAGGGCTGGATTCCCACCTCCCCGCTCCGCCAGCGCTGACTGGCGGAACGGACGGGGCGGGTACAGCTGGCTCTGCCTCTAGATAGGCAGAGCCAGCTGTCAGTCACGCAGCTGGGCGGATCCAGACATAATTGTCGGGATCCGCTTCAGCTGCTAGCTACAGCTTGCGGTATACTGAGCTTAGGGTGAAGGGAGGACGCTAGTTTGTGTCCTCCCGTTACCCTAAGGAGAACTATGGGGAAAAGGTTTAACCCCATAGTTCTCCTTTAAGGCCTCATGCACACGGCCCTACAGTGCCAAATACAGGAGCCGTTATCTGGAAAGAATAAACAACTTTTCTGCCTCCAGATCACTTTTTCGTGGGTTTAGCTGTATTTACACGTGTTTACATGCAATTACAGGGACACAGAGAATTGTTTATGTAAATTCAGATAAACTGAAAGCACCTAGACGCTGTTAATGTCTAGTTGTGCATTCAGCCATAGCAAAGCATTACATGCTTTCAGGTGAATTTAGAAATTCCCTTTATACGCAACTGGAAGCATGCATTTTATTTCCCATGTGCATCGGGCTTGAGGGGGGAGGTGCAGCCTGTGTCAGGATAGGGGTTCATGGACCAAGGCGAATAGGCGATGCATTTCACGGCTATTCAACCATGCCAAACCTGAAGTTCAGCTGTGGGCTGGTAACCTATATTCCTGGGGGAACTGTGTTTGAGAAGAGAGCTCTGAAGTTATGCAGTAAGAGGGACAGGAAGGTCGCAGTTTAGTTACACTGTCAGGGCTATAAGACCAGTTTTCCAGCAACATCTTAGTGATGGGAATGTGCAGAACATATATATCGGTCTTTCTTGCTGACAGCATTTGTGTGAGCAAATCCGGAGAAGTAAATTATAGCCAGAGAGTGATTAGATAAAATGAAAGCCAGATGCTGCATGGAGGCAGGGGACAAACAATAACCTGATAGTGGACATGTGGATGCTTAAATAGCACTGAAAGAGCCAGGCTCTACATTAGGAAGTTCATGTGATGTGAGACAAAAAAAGCTTTGTTATGTTGCAATCAATGTGAAGTTCTGTATGTTTACTGTTTGTTCAAACATTTGTATAACTTTCAATTGTAAATATAGGCAAATTAGAAAATTACATACATAATGCAATTTATCAAAAGAATTAACGGAACAGCTCCCCCTAATAACATGGCTTTATCACATTTTTTTTTTTAAATTCTTTATTGTACATCAGAGAGAAAGTACATTCCAGTGGACAAAGTAGGGCAACCGCCCATCACATAACATTACAATAAACTGAGACATCACATGCATGTCCTCATATACGTTAAGGCACAATCACTGTACAGAAATGAAGCAAAACTCCCGGCGGGAGTAAATGTCTCTACATTTACCCGCTACACCCGTAGCGGGTATCTCACGATCAGTGTATCGTATAAAAGCATAACAGCTTTATCACATTTTAATCCTGTCAGTAGATCCATTCTTTTTCCACTTCCTTTAACAGGGTGACAATACTGTTCATTCTGCAGTGAAATTGTGCAGAAGTATACTGAAACATTATATAAAAAATGCTATAATACCAGGTAATAACCCTATAAAGCTACAATATTTTTCACTACAGTGTAGTATAGTATAGTGATAGTATAGTCACTATCCTCCTAAACCCATGGAGAAGAATTAAGACTTGCTTCTAATTCATAAAGCAGGGTTTGCTTATAGAATAGTAGTCAGTTATAACTTTTCAGTTTCCCTTTAACTCTCACTTTTTGTCCTAGGGAAAGATGTTATCTGGACAAAAAGTGAACAGAAAAGCAAAATTTAGTTAGTAGATATGAACCCATGAGTAGAGGGAAAATCTCCCAATGGTGATACCTCAGGGATGGATTCACCATTAAGCAAAATAAGAATGTGCTTAGAGCACCAAGTGTAGGGGGCACCAAATATTTTTTTCCCTATTGGATAAGTTCCCTTTAACCACCTCAGGACCGCAATATGTATGTAAACGGTGCAGTACTGAAGAAGTTACACCAAGATCATGGCTGCTACTGTGAATGTGAATTTGGTATCATTCTTTTAAGGCAGCACCTGGCTGTAACATACAAGTCTTCTGGTGGGAAGGCTGTAGAGCTGCTTGATCACGTGTATACAACTGAGGAGTGTGCCTCCCCCAGCCCCCCGTGGCAATCCCGGACTCCGCTGTCCCGCATGCGGCCCGGGACTGGAATGGTGGGTGCCAGCAGCTGGATGAGAGGGAGATCAGCACACTTTCAGTGCCTGATCTCCCCTCGAATCACTGAAACCGAAAGCAATGAGGATGTCATCACTTCCGGTTTCAGCCTGTCATTTCTTTCGGCTGCTGTGGACTGGAGAAGAAGCTGATGAAGCATAATCAGTGCTTCATCAGATTCTCTAATTAAAGTGACATTGTTTTCTGTTAAAAAAAAGTGACATTAAAGTGAATTTAAAAAAAATTTAAGTGATAAATAAAAAAAACGAAACTTTTTGAAAGCCTCCCCCCACATACAAACTTGCCTCGGGTGCTCTTACATGTGTAAACGATTGTGCCAAACATGTTACTGACAGTATCACCGTGAACACCCGAGTGAGAGCAATAATTCTAGGGCCATCACCCAATGTTAATGCTAAAGTGATGAGTGGTAAAGGCTTTTAAAATGACTCCCATGGGCAATTTTAGGTACTGTAGTTTTTTTGCCGTTTCTTGGGCGTGGGAATTTTTTAAGGTGTGACAAAAATTGGGTATTTTATTGTGTTTGTGTGCACTAAATTAATTTTACTGTTTTTTAGCCTAAACATATTGATTTAGTAAACAGTTGTGCAAATATTGTACAACATAAAACACTGCAACTAGCATTTTTTTTATTCTATGGGGCCTCTGCTTTCAGAAAATGTATAAATGTTTGGGGGATTTAAGCAGGTTTCTAGACAAAATTTTAGATTTTACAAAAAATGTGTGTACAAGAATGAAAATGATAAAACAAAGTGCACTTATCCTTTTTGCCCCTTTGGCCTTAGCTAACCGATTCTACCCTCCTACTCCATAGATGTATACTTTCTGAGATCTGACTGCCGTGGCCTCTGTTGTTTATTTACATGCCACACCACAAGTCTTCTCTCTCCTGGCTGCACAGACTTCTAATGTGCTTCTCTACATTTGTCTCCTGGCCAGGAGACGATGGTAGATGAGCCCCATGGACTTAATTCTTAAATATAACTTATAAAAGAAGTGATTTCCTTCATTATTTCTGAATAAAAGGCCTCAGTTGCTTAATTTTGATCTATGCCTAATATGTTCAATAAATAAAATGAAACATTTTTTGTTTTATATAGTTAGGGGGTCTGGCCTGGAGCTGACCTTGAAGAAAACCGAAGAAGGTTTATACATTTTATTTCACTTTTAGCACCTATGGAGCCCTTTTGTCTTGTCAGTTAAACCAAGGGGGCCATCATTTTCAGGCTGTACTTAGGGCATCAATTGCCCTTATTCAGACCTGAAATACCTGTTGTTAGTTAAGAAAATCATTTTTTAAAAACTGTTACATTATACAGAACATTATGTAGCCAGCAGAGCTAAACAAGCTTGTTGACTGCTCTAACCCATACGTATGGGCTGAAAGTAAGCCTGAGTATTGCATGGATGTAAAGGAGTAAAGGAAAGGTCTTTGGTCATTGAAAGGCTGCAATATTGTGGACAAAGTGTTGTGGGGGGTTGATATGCTTGGTCAAATTGTCTATGGGAGGGTGGTATTGATGGGCAAAGTGTCTGGGTGAAGGGTGATATTACTGGAAAACGTATCTGGGGGGTAATGTATTTGAGCAAAGTCTCTGTGAGAGTGGTAGAATTGTTGAGCAAAGTGTCTGTGGAAGGGGTGATATTATCAGGTAAAGTGTCTGGATGAGGGGTGATATTGTTGGGCAAAGTGTCTGGCGGAGGGGAGATATTGTTGGGCAAAGTGTCTGGAGGAGGGGTGATATTGTTGGGCAAAGTGTCTGGCGAGGGGAGATATTGTTGGGTAAAGTGTCTGGCGGAGGGGTGATAGTGTTGGGCAAAGTGTCTGGAGGAGGGGTTATATTGTTGGGCAAAGTGTCTGGTGGAGGGGAGATGTTGATGGGCAAAGTGTCTGGTGGAGGGGAGATTTTGTTGGGCAAAGTGTCTGGTGGAGGGTAGATGTTGTTGGGCAAAGTGTCTGGCGGAGGGGAGATATTGTTGGGCAAAGTGTCTGGCGGAGGGGTGATATTGTTGGGCAAAGTGTCTGGAGGAGGGGTGATATTGTTGGGCAAAGTGTCTGGCGAGGGGAGATATTGTTGGGTAAAGTGTCTGGCGGAGGGGTGATAGTGTTGGGCAAAGTGCCTGGGGGGGATTGGTGGTATTGTTTGGCAAAGGCATATCAACTACACAACATCAAACCCAGCCACATTAGCCAAGCACATGTAAAATGTGACCCTCCTCTAATGTTGGAAGGTACAAACTTCCTTGGTTAATATATTGGTAAATGATATCATAAAAAATATCATATAAGCTATATAATATGCCTTGTTGCTAGGAACTGCAAAAAATTACCATCTTACATCACAAATAACAGTCCCTTGTATATGATATCTATTACAATGTGAAGTATATACAGTATGTGTGTCCAGTGTCTATAAATAGAAGCGGATGTGTGTGTTCTATATGAATGCCTGGGATCTGCAGTGCACACAGCAGACACATTTGGCCTGAGAGAAGAGGGTGGGAGCTGCCCTATATATCTTCCTGGGCTCCATCCATTTACTGCTTCCAGCAGCCTTCCAACCCATCTGTTGCTTATCATGTAGATATTGTGGTCACCACTGTGATCAGCCATAGGATGCACAGCTAGAGCTCTCGCCTTCTGACACCCAACAGGTCCTAGTATGCTCAATGCTTCCCTGAAATGTCACCTATGTCCCGGATATTTCCCCAGCCATCTGTAGCAACACTCTAATGGCAGTAACATGAATAGGAACAGAACCTTACCACACAGAGTCAGGACAATGGACAGCTCCGGGAAAGCACGGCAGGCATAACAGGCTGGAAAATAATGCACTTCCAACTCCGCCTCCTACAATGATCGCAAAGCTTGTTGCATAAAAGACAGGAATCAGACATCCCCTACCTACAGGCTCCCTCCCGTGCGCGTGCCCGACGACGGCTGCTTTTTTTTTTTTAATGCATTGCCCATGTTTAGTGTTATGCCGTGCACGCTCCCGATCTCCTGTGCAGGCTCATCTGAGAGAGCCCAGCCCCAGCAGATTCATCCTTCTCTTCGCTGTTGGCCTTCTTTTAACCCTTTCTGCCCCCCTGCGTGCATTATGTGATCTCTTGTCTTCCCTGTGTGCATTATTTAGACCCCGTTGCTTATATTATCTACCCATTTCTGTGCTTTGCAAGCCCATCTCCCTGGTAATCTATCTATGCTTTTTAACCCTTGATACATTTAAAACTGAACTCTGGAATAAGGGGAAGGTGAAGCCAATTAGGTGTGCTGAACACAACTGTGCCCACAAGGATAATATAGCAGAATGTCTGGATCCGCCCAGTTGCGTGATAGCTGGCTCAGCACTGGCGGATCGGGGAGGGGGGAAACCAGCCCCTCCCCTGTCACGCAGAGAACCGTGACAGGATCAAGAGGTGAGCGAACGCCGCTATGTGTTCGCTCACCTCCCGATTTACTGAGCTGACCTGTGACAGTCTCATTGTCACAGGTCGGCTAGAACTATGAGGTGAGTGAAAAGCACTCACCTCATAGTTCTCCTTTAAGGGCCTGTTCACATGAGTTTCAGGTCCTGATCAGGTGCGGATCAGCAGACGCGGTGCTATGTGTTTTTGTAGCGTTTTTGATGCGTTCCAGAAAAAAAAAATGTTTTCTGGAGTGGGGCTGTCAGTATGTTAGCTGCAGTGCAGTGTGTTTTTGATGCGTTTTTGATGCGTTTTGCGTTTCCGGACCGTTTCCTGACCGTACAAAATGTGACATGCAGTATTTTTCTGTCGTAACCTGAACGGACTGCGCACGTGAGAACTGTAGCCCATAAAACACATAGGGATACATTGGGATGCATTTTTAGTGCAGGAGCGTACGGATCAGGTCAGCACAGAAAACGGACGTCGTGTGAACAGGCCCTCAAGCATTCTCTGCATTAAGGTAAAATACACTCCAGTACTTTTGCATGCCCCCACCTTCAAATACCTAACTTTCATCTGTGTTCACCAGTGTTCTATAATTTTTCTGGACCTCTAATAATTTTTCTGGACCTCATAAGAATGCTGGACCACATCACTTCCGGTGATGCAGTCTCAGCGGTTGGAGGCGTTCTAGGCTTAACATGCATGCGCCATTGTTCTATAATTTTTCTCGACCCATAACATTTCTCCTCCCTCAGGCTAGCCCCAGTTTTCCAACACCACCCCGCGAGTGGCCTGTAATTTTCCTCACTGCGTCACTTCCACATACACATGCGCATGATCAAGGGCCGTCAGGAAACCATCTGATTTGGGTGATGCGGCCGCACCGGAAGTGACGCGGTGGATACATTTTATGGGTCAAGGAAAAATTATAGAACAACGGCGCATGCACGCTGAGCCTAGCATCCCAGTAGGTGGCGTCCGGCCCAGCTCCTGGCAACAATTGTATATCACTGCTTCTGCGGCATTTATTTCAGTTATTTTTTGGTTGCCTTATATAGATGCGATTTATTCACTCGCTTTTCTTATTAACTGTTTATTTAAAAGGCACATTTTTTGTTGCTATAGTGTGAAGTGATTGTTCACCGTTTTTTCTCATTAATGGTCTATTCAAATGCACCTTTGAGCAAATTATCACGTTGAAATTTTGTGACAAGTAATTTGATACACACACGGATCACTGAAGTTTATTTCACAAGTAAAGGAGATTCTTTATTTAAAATTGCGGGTTACACTGAGGAGGTTAATCAGCGCTGTACACTTACCCTACATCCTATGAGGTTCCAACAGTAACCTTTGTTTGGCAGCTTTTTAAACCTAAACCCAGGTTTAAAGGAGAACTATGGGGTCAGTGTTTTTCCCCATAGTTCTCCTTGGGGTAACGGAAGGACACAAACTAGCGTCCTCCCGTCACCCTAAGCTCAGTATACCGCGAGCTACAGCTCGCGGTATACTGGCACGCCGCAGCCGGAGCG